TGTTCTTACGATCTTCAGTAACGACCAGAGCCGGAGCCCAGAAGATTTGAGGGGCCAGAACCTGGAAGCCACAGTACTGCAAGATGCCATTCTGCAGAGAAAGACTTGCTAAGAGGTTTCCAGTATGTTGCAGTGGAACCAGTAAAGACACTACACTATCTGCAGTGACTACAGTGTGATGTTCATGTCTCCATTCATACCCGTTGGACTGAACATGGATTCTAGAGACCCAGTAGTGAAGGACAGCATGGCTTTCTTGTTCTAGAAGGAAACCGGTTGAACACAGCATGTTTGGATTTCTGCAAACCCTTCATTGAACTCTTACCTTGAAGGTTTCCCTTGTGAAAAGGTAAAGCCACTGGTGAGCACCCGATCAAGCCAGCTCTTCAGGATACCAGGAACACTGAACCAGTACATGGGGAACAGAAAGAGGGACTACAGTAAGTACATCATTGTGCATTTATAGATCACCGATATGTAGAATTACCTGAAAGATGATCATATTTGCCTCAATGAGCTCAGATTGCTCCTTTGTGATGTCATCTGAAAGTTTTCGCTGCTCCCATGGAAGTTTGGATTCACCAAGATAATGGAATGTCTCAGCATTCTTCAAGTCTCCTGTGCAAGAAAGATTTGTCAGACACAAACCTCTGACAATATATTTCATCACCTAAAGTTACCTTGTACCTTTGATGTCCTCAGCTGCAGTAGTGGCTTTAAAACCCATGGCATACAGGTCAGAGATTTCCACAATCAAGTTTTGTGGAAAACTTGATTGTCTTTTGCCACAACCAAATGACCTGGAATGAATCACACCCTACCTGCTAAAGTCACTCAGCTGTTTTTATATCTGGCTGTGCTCAAACACACTCAGGTGCAGATAATTAACAATTATCGTCATGATTCAGGTAACAACATCAGAGAGTAATTTCAGATTTTGACTCATTTCCACTAAAATCTGAAGTCGAATAAGTTCTGTGCATGAACAATAATGTAGTATTTTTCTTCCATTTTGTCCTGCTGCAGACTCAGTGCTAACTTAGTGTTGTTTCCGCTCTTTCATCATATTTCGATGAGCTGAGCAATGTCTGTACAACTACGTGCACAGATTAAATCACTGTGGAGACGTTTGACAAATCCTGACAGCAGCCATGCAGTGGAGTTTGTATGGCAGCAAAATGTGTTTTTAAGTAGTGAGCAACAGCACCATCATGTGGCCACCAGAGGAATTCATTATTGCAAAGTTCTGTTCTTTATCTCTATCATTTTGGTTAAGTGTAGTTCTAAAGCTGGGTTGTGTGGTATTTGTTTGGTTCTGATCGTAGCAGCTGACATTGAACAATGAACAATTGCTGGTGACTTTTAGATATAATCCAGTTACAATAGAATTTGACATTTGGATCTGGAAATGACGTCACAGCCAACAATGGTGCATTTGTGAGCTTTAGTACCAGTAAGATTTGAGAGTTGTTTGGTTTTGCTCAATCATCACGCTAACATAATAGCTGTAAGAAATAAAACGCTTTTCCCATTTTGTTTTTTTTTTTTTGTTTGTTTTTTTTTTATTCGCTGGAGGTTGTTACTGCAAAAGACACAAATCATCAAAAGTGCAATCAATTAGGGATTATTAATTTATTTGTTGAAATTTTCTTTTCGAAATTTCAACTTCTTGGGACCTCAGTGTAGCTAAATGTTTCCATCATAAAGGCTTTAAATGTCAGTTTCTGAGAAACAGTTGAACTGAAACATACTGGATCGTAGGAGTCCACTACTTACATAAACGACGTTCAAATATAAATTTAAGCAATGCCATTGTAGGGTGACAACTTTTACTTTAACTTTTTATGCAGACATCTGCATGTGAAAGTTTTCATTAAGAAAATCACACAAACTTAATTCAAGCAAAAAATATACTCATCCTGTTTTCACTTTTTTACCAGTAGATGGCGAAACTGCACATAAACTGCTAATCCCAAGATCTGATTTTAATGCTGTTTATGACCTAATCACTGTTTACATCCACAGTGAGTTATAGCCATCCAGATGTTGTGACATTCATTCTCGCTGTACCCTGATGGAAAATAATCACTGCAGAGATGCAAATAGCAACCTTTAAAAGATTAATGTTGCTGATCTAATCACCAGGATGACCGTTAAGTAAACAGAGCTGCAGGATTTACTGTGAGTCTGTTGGCTGGCTGTCAGCAGGGCCTTCTGGCAACATACAAACTGGCAGGTGCTGGGCAGCTCAGGAAAAGACGCAAGACGGGCTAAAATTAATTTGTCTATTTGTTGTTCAGTCTTCGTAGCTCTTTCATTCAGCTGTCCAGCTGTAACTGAACCTCACTCTTATTTTAATCTTAATCATCTTCATCTTTACCACTACAAAAGGATACAATTTCCACTTAGAGAGACAATGACTAAAGGGATAAGCAAACTCCAGTGACACATATCCCAGACATTTTGGCTACAAAGGCTGTCTGATGTATTGCCCCTGTCAGCTGGCCAACTAAATTCTGTAATTTGGTCAAAATGTACCCAAAGTTTAGCCCTTACAGCAGCTTTCTCTAAAAATAATGTGATTAGTGAAATAGTGCTCACTAATCACCTTCTCATGTATATGTTTTTCTCACATACACAATAAACTATTTTGAGTATATTAAAAAAAAAGCATTCTTGTAGTTGAGGTCATGACAAAAGTCCAAATTTTGTAATATATTTTTGTTTGTTGGTAATATTTCTCTATTTTTTGGTAATATTTCTCTGTTGCATAAAGGCTGTGCGGTGTTTAGACAGACCAGTTTAACAAGTTACACACATTCACTGTAATTCAAATTGATTTACTTCTTTCCAAAGATATATTTAAATGCACTTCAGTTTCATTTGAACTGATGTACAGATTAATAAATAAAGCTGCTTTTCGATTGACCTTTTGTCAGTTCTAACTTTAAAATTTGTCAATGATCTTTTGAAACATTGATTTTCAGTGTGGGATTGACATCCTCTTGTTGCATAACTGCTCCTTTCTCCTCAGAATGATAGTTTGCTCAGTGTGAGCAAAGCCCTGAGTCCAAACCCCTGCAGGCTGCAGGCAACATGATGAAGAGACGTTCACTGGACTGTGACATGGCTCACAGGGAGACACTGATTTGCATTGTTAACAAAGCAGGGGACTGAGAAACCTTCTGCATACTTATTTGATGTCATAGCAAAGGAATGCACAGATAAGAACATCTGAACATTTACATGCATGCCACTTCTTTAGTTATCGCCTTTGGCTCAGACGATGTTCTCCATAATCCAATGATCCCTTGGAGGTACTTACTGCAGATCTGCCTTACAACTCATTAGCATAACAAGATATGAAAGGGAAAAAAAAACATTCCAGTATCTCCTTTCTTGCTGGAATGGAGCATTTGTGACTTCAGCTAAGTCCCAATGCCACCAAACTTTTTGGACTTGTCAACAAAATCTAGCATCACAACTTGGAGGCTCCCTTCCTACCACACAGATGGGCAATTTCACCATTTGATTTATGTTTTTAAGCAGAGACACTTTCTTCTCTGCAGACTTTGTGCAAGAGCAGCACAAGGTCTTCTCCTGCACAAATAGAAGACTTTTAATTACGTTTACTGTGGTAATATGCTTGTAGTTTTCTAATTTACCTTTTGGTTCAGGGGTTTGAGTCGGCGTCAAATTAAACACTGATTATGGAGAGTGTAGTTTTCTGTTTTTACTGCTTCTCTGTGTTGTCTCTGCTTAGCCATTTCTTCCTATTCGATTTCTTCAGTTTATTCTCAGCTCTTTTCCGTAGCCTGTTAGCAATCTGCCACCTGCTTCTATTTCACTAATCACCTCCTCAAAATATTTGACTCAATTCAGTTGGTTATTTGTCAGATCCTTCCCATGTTACGAAGATAACTCATGCACGTTTAAAGTACACAGTGGCAAGAGCTGATCGACCCAAATCTCCCCTCAAAACTGTACAGCAGCTGTTATCTAGAGAGACATGACTGACAGAGGGGTTGAGAAATTAAAGGTTTATTACTCACAAACTGTTGTAGCAGAGGATGAAAACTAAATTAATAAGAATATACTCAGTCCACATAGAAATGTTCAAAGAAACGTAATTAAGTTTTTGTGTATATGCACATGAAGTCAAAGAGAAGAAGAAAATGTGAGGCTCTGTCCTTTCAACCAGATGGTGTCTAGACTGAAACAGACGACGAATTAAATCCAAGACATCCCAGTGGGAAAAGAGCAGGGAAACACAAGGAAGAGAATATGCAGTCTCCAAACAATACACGCTGCTCAGGTTTTGAAAATAAGCTTTTTTAATAAGCAGAATATCAGAACCAATAGCCTTTTATTTTCACCAATCAGTCAGAGGGGTAAAAGGCACACATTAAGAATAAGGATTTTACCAACATCATTCACACATCTCAGATTTTTTTGAAAGCTGTAAGCAATTTACAACCCGTTTGTGTTTTTGTCTCTTATCGGTTGACAAGACACAAACAGGTGGCTTGAAGAGAATGATGGTGGCCATATGCCGAAGCTCTGTCACGGTGGAGTCATTTCTCACAGAGCCTGTTGCAGAATCTGAGGACATATTTTCCACCGGCAGCAATCTTCTTCACAGTGATCATTAATTTAATAATCAACGCTGACAATTTACAAAATGTCAGGAGCCAAAAGACCAACATGAGGTTTCATATTTTACTTTAAAAACGTTTGCGACATTTATTGTCCATTTATCTGGTCCAATTCAAGGAAGCGCAACAGGAATGTTTTTCCCTATAAAATGCTATGATACATTTTTTTAAAAATCTCAACTGTGAGATTATGAAGATTTCCTGTCATTTTAATCATTCAAGCCAATAAATTTACATTAGCTTTAATTGCTCACATCTTACCTACAACCTTCTTCAATTCCTCTGTCCATGTAGCTCCAGAAGAGAGGTGGGTGTGTCTCAGTGAGGACAGAAAGAGAGGCTGCAGAAGGAAGCAGACGGCTGGACTGTCAGAGGAGACGGAACAAGATGAGGAGGTTTCCTTCCCAGGTCCTCAGTTACATCTTAATCCTAAAATTTTCTCTTTAACTTCAAGCATCGTGTAAAACACAGGAATGTGGTTTTGTGCTTTCTGACTTTATTTTTTGTATTTTTCTCCAGCCATTTACAACTGGATTCTTGAATGTATCAGGTAAGCAAGTTTTCACTTTGTTTTCATTTTATTTTAAGACCCTTTCCTGACTTTTGACTTTTCCTGACTTTTGAATTGATCTCTTAGTCATCTTAGGCAAGAAAACAAACATTTGATTACTGTTGTTGTTGTTGTTGTTGCACTTTGGCTCAGCTGGAAGTTGAGCCAAGGTTTGCATGTTCTCCCATATGTGGGCTCTTTCCAGGTAGTCCGGCTTCCTCTTACAGAAAAAAATATGACAGTTAGGCTGATTGATTAATGTACGCCATACCTTCATTGTGTGTCAACATGATTCTGTCTCTCTGTACTGTCCTGTTTAGGCGACCTGTCCAGGGTGTAGCTACCCCGCTTTAGTCCCCATAATCGCTGAACACATGCAGAGCCTCTCACGATCGTCCCGAAAATAAACAGAAGATGAATGCCTTATAAGTAAATACATACAAGCTCAAATTACAGTACTGGATAGTTTTTCTTTTGTTTGTTTTTGTGTTTTTACATTTGTTCAGTCTCTCTCGGTCTCCCTTCAGCACCTCGGACAGCGGCGGTCTCTCCAACCAGGATCAACGCTGAGGGGCCCCGGTGGAGTCAGTTTTAGACTGCGAGAAATCGCTCTTAATTTTAAAGAAAATGCCTGCAGCACATCGTTATGACAATTTCTATCCAAAGAGAGCATTTTTATATTTAATATCTTGCATTGGGAAATTGATGCCTCTTTTCTTTAGAATGAAAAAAAAAACTTTCTTCCTCCAGAGAAAATGACGTGGGGCCTCATGCATAAAAGAGTGCGGCAGTTTTCACACTAAAACTTGGCGTAAGGAAAAATTTTGAAAAGTGCGGCGCACAAAAAAAAAATTGGCTGGATAAAGCCCCGCACCTTTCCTTTATAAATCCTAATTTGCGGAAAATAGAGCGCAGCTGCTGGTCCACCCATAATTACGTATGTAAAGCAGTATAAATACCCGGAAGTCTGCCACCACGTGAAGCAATAACCATGGCAACGTCCTGCTTTGAAGCAGCGTTAGCTTATTGTCTGATAATAAATGCGGTTCAGTTTCATCGTTTACATTTAAACAATAAAATATTAAAATCATGAAAAACATCGGTTTTGGTGCCGACTTGTGCGCGCGCACGCTTGGTGCATGAGGCCCCTGATTCTTATTTCTGACCAACAGCAAACTGACTACACCAGGGGACCAAAGGACCCGGAGAGCCTCCCTCCCTCCGCCTGCGAGGGTAAATGCCGGAGGACAGAGAGGACCGTGCGCGCTCCAGAGAGGAGAGGAGACGCAGGAGGCGCGCAACCGCCAAATATCGGTCTGCGCATGCGTCCAGGGAGCGTGTTCGCGTCGTTGCCTTCAACGTGGCTTTTGCGGAGCTTAGGAAACTTCTACCGACCCTCCCACCCGATAAAAAGTTGTCCAAAATTGAAATCCTGCGACTCGCAGTTTGTTACATCTCCTACCTGAACCATGTCCTGGATGTTTGAGGGGAAATGTCAGAAAGGATCAAATCACCGGATCTGAGGATCGCGATTATTAACCGATACTGAGGAGCACATTGACTGAGTTTTTTTTATTTCATTGTTTGTTTGTTTTTTATCCCAGAAGGAGCTGCAGGACAGTTTCAGAAAAATTCTGCAGAATTAGTGCCATAAAGAAAGGCATTTTCTGAATATTTGTAAGCAAAGTGTACTTATTGAATATTCTTATAGTCAGTAAATCTGGAGGTCCAAAAGTGCCATAAATAAATAAATGGCACAACTAATGGTGTCATTAATAGCACAAGGTAAAAGGATGAATATTCCTTTACACGTGTAATTTATTAAATGTCTCATTTTTTTTATTATTTGCAAATTATTTTGTACAATTTATTTCAACAAAATGATTATGCTTCACATCATAAAGTTATTTTCCTTTTGAGCTACTTACTTCAAAGTCAGTGGGTGGGATTAAGACCAAGCTGACGTCACTTGTGGCCATTAATCAATCAGATATTAAATTCTTTCTTTTCGGCACTGCATCAGAACTATTTGTTGAATTAATTTCACACAAATTTTAATTCCAATTTTAACAATGGAGGGATGGGTTTTTAATTAGTAAATTACTAGTTTTATCTTTAATGTTTCAATATTTTAATTAAGAATTGTAAAAACCATTAGATAGTGATTGATTGGGGGATTTTTGACTGCCCATACTTGCCTTTAGTGTACACTTATTTTGAACAACAATAAAAAAAAATATTTATTTCGCAGGTGTTCTGTATAGATATGGCCATTTTGTGGGGTTTTGCAGTAGAACTGTGTATTGAAATCCAATTTAATCAATGTATGATAAACTGCATAAATTGACAGCAAAATGACAGCAAAAATAAAAAAATACCAAAAAATATATTTTCAGTAACCATTAAACTTAAGCATTGCAAGAGTGCAGCCATTTCTTCCAGTCATTAGTTTATATTTGTGTAACTTGTAAAGTAGTTTTCTATAATGCTCTGCATAAAGATGTTCTTCAAAATGACTGTATCTCCACTACAGCTGCTTCAGATCTTATTATGATGCTGCCATCACTGTATTTTACTTCCAGGATTTTGTTTTCATGCTGATGTGCAGTGTTGATATTTTGTCACTTATAGCCTTTAGCATTCAGACCAAAAGTTGTGTGCTTTGCTTATTTAGAGTTTAGTCAAATTCAAAGTTCAACCAAAACACTGGAAAAATCAAGCCTTTCAAAGCAACACACTACTCATGGCTGTTTACATATTTAGTCTCATATAAATATACATAATTTATTAAATCTAACAATATTCCCCTGACATCTAAGATTGAGACCTTGCAACAACTAGAAAAGCTGTAAATGTGAGTCTTTTCTTGTTCTTTTTTTTATTAAAATGAGACCTTCTGCAGCACACATTTCAAATGACCATAAATACCATAAAGCAGATTACTGAGTGTAGTATGATATTTTAAACATTTATTAGACAAAAAATTAACTTGATACATGAAGTAATAAAAGAAAAACTCAAGAACTGTTTCATTTCAATTGATTTAATTTTAATATGATTAAATGTAGCTATGTTTTACATAAAATTAGAATATGTTGAATGTTATTCTGAAGAATACGAGAGTATAAATAAAATAACACCCAACCTGTGCAGTATTTTTCTTTTTTTTCATACATACTTTTATATTTTTCTAGATAACAACACCGCCCTCTTCCGGAGATGAGTAAAATTACAAGATGGCGCCATAACACTCATTTAAATGTTTCTTATTCATTCATAAATTTTTAAAATTATTGTTTTAAATAGCTACAGCTGTTTTAGTCCTTAATGCTAGGACTAAAAACAGAATCAGAGACACAGTCAGAAGCATCCTCAGAAGCAGTGAGGAGGACAAAATTTTTGGATTGTTGCACACAAAGTACATTTTCTGACAAAGTAAATCCATTCATCTTCTAAAACCCTTGTCCCTAGTGGGGCTGGGGGTGGGGTGCCTATCTCCAGCTAATGTTCTGGGCGAGAGGCGGGGTTCACCCTGGACTGGTTGCCAGTGTGTCACAGGTCAACTCAGAGACAGACAGGACAAACAACCATGCACACACACAGTTTTTGGACTGTGGGAGGAAGCCAGAGTACCGGGAGAGAACACACGCATGAACAGGGAAAACATGCTAACTCCATGCAGAAAGATCAAGTTTCCACAGTTTTGAAGACATATTTTGAGAGGCATAGAATTGAATTTGCTCAAAGTTCAGTGTGAGATTTTCACAGCCAGTGATGCTTTTAGGAACCACGCCGTGTCATCAGCTGATGTTGGCCAGTTCTGTGTCTGCCAAGGCATTATGCAGCACCTTATTCTTAAGATGACAGAAACCAGACCCAAGAAACTAGAGGAGTTGCAAGCCACTAATAAAGAAACTCTGTAAAACTGCAGAAATTTATGCAAAAAGGAGACCCAACACGGTGCTGAGAGCCTGCAGCACGTTGACATGGAGGATGACATTCCTGTCTCAAAAAGTTTAAAAAAATTAAATCAATTCCTGTCACATTCCTGTCTCATTCCTGTTTTTTTTTTTTTTTTTTTTTTTTTTTTTTTTAAATCAGTGTTATGGAGCATTAATGATAGCTGTAAAGCCAAAATTTAAAAAAAAAAAAAGAGAATTAAAATTTTAAATTTACCTGTATTATCTATATAACATTTATCTTGAATTTTGAAACCAATACATTTTATAAATTAACTTATAGAAAATATTTGAACTTCAGGACTTCTTCATTTCTGTCTAGAAGTAGAAATATGATCCTTTTCACTGTGAATTTGGGCTTTTAGATATTTTTGTCGCCGCAAAATATCTTCAAGTCGAGCAAACATGATTTCTCTATTGACCATTAAATTGAATTAACGTGAGAGAGGGAAAAAAAAACATAAATAAATTGGTGTAAGTTTTCCTGTTTCGTGGAGGGTCGTCAAGTCCCACAAAGGACGACCTCTTGTGGTCTGGAGTGAAATCTCCTTGTGGCTCTGTTGAGAGCATTGTACGTCCACTCCGCCTGCCTCTCTGGTCCTGCTCACTACAATAGCCAGGCTCGTGTGACGGAGCTGCGTCTCTCTCTCGGCTCAGACAGACGCGCCTCAGAGCTGCAGCCGCACATCCACTGACTGGCGTCCAGACGCGCATTCCGGAATTCGAGGCAATTCTAGAGTCAAAGGTAGAGTAAATCAAGCTTTATCGAAATGCTGCGTTTATGGCAGCGGGGCGGGGTGGAGGCTGTCTTTGCCCAAAAAAAAAAAAAAAAAAAAAAAAGCCGACGACCTCCTAGGAATTAAGTTCACTGCTGTCGTAGCGGCGAGGATGATTATATAAAAAAAAAAAAAAAGCTTTTCTTCTTAGCAAACAGATGCTGCGTCCTAATCTGTTTTTTTTTTGTTTGTTTGTTTGTTTGTTTTTTGTTTGCTTGTTTTATATTTTATTAGAACACAGCTCTAATAATAATAATTTGTTTTTAAAAAACGATTGGCTTATCTGAGGTGATTGCACATCACACAGGCCACTGAATGGGGCTGACTGGGGGTTCAGGCTGGGACTGATGCTGCAGCTGTGAAGCAGATCAGTAACACCCTCCTCTCTGCCAGCGCCTGTGAAACACAGGCTGCTCGGAGACGAGGCAGCCTCCGCAGGGCATCGCCATCCTCCGCAGCTGTCTGCAGGGTTGCACAGCTGGATGAAGTGCTGCTGAATCTGAAAGCAGCTTCTCTGGCGCTGCCCCCGATGCTGTGCAAAGAGAGCTACGGTTATTTATTATTGAGCATGGCTTGTTAGGAGAGGCTGGGGAACTCCTGATCAGATGAGTCATATCAGCTCCTGCAAGGAGAGATCAAAAGAAAAGGGGTCGCTTTGCCTTTTGTTCTCTTTAAAGCCATGGTTTCTGACTGGCTGGACAGGATGTAAGAGGAAACAGCACTACCTTTAGGCTAAAGTTTGGATGGTGTGATGCAAGATTCTTTACACCAGGCCTATAGAAAGACGTAAAAGCACTTACAGCAGGGCTGGCTGGGCTGAAGGGCATCTCTTCCTCAGCAATGGCTGTGCTACTCCTTCCTCCTACTGTACTTTTACTTAGTTCCACTTGAACGCATCGGAAGGGCCTGAAGTTTGCATTCCTGAGGAATGTGTCAGATCTTAACTTTCTCCTTTTACTCTGTGGGTGTGTTTGTGAAGGTGGGGGGTGAGTGAACAAAGCGAGGTAAGCCAGGAGTCAATCGCAGGTCAGGGATTTGCTTTTTTTTTTTTTTTTTTTTTGCACGTATCCAAGAAATATTTCTGCAGCACGCCAGAGATAAAATGGGCAGCAGTGGTAAAGCATGCGACTCAAAGTTACGCCTACAGAAGAAATAAAAGGTTGTTTGTTTTTGACAATGTTTACTGCCTTAAAATTCATAGTTGTCACACTAAAATCACTCATTTCTGTGTATTTTTTGAGGGGGTTGGAGGTATTTTATGGCAGACCAACACATAGCTTTCCATAGATGTGGAAGCGAAATTAAATAAATGCATTTGTGTTTATCATCCTTTTCTCTAAAGCTTTCAAATTCAATACTAACTAATTACCTTCAGAAGTCGCCGAATTGATAAATTATGTCCATGAAGACCACAACGGTTTATTACAGAACATTAGAGGTTAAAGACAAAACGTTTAAAGACTTATTTCTCCTTGAGAAATAAAGTTGAGGTATATCATTAATACTTTCCATTGATTTGTTTGTGCTCAAACTAGTTTACAAACAGAAGTCAAACACATTATTTTCTATCTATGGAAGGCTGATAGGGCTCAATAAAAATACATGCCACATTTAGATTTAAAAACCGTCGACCATTTTCCTTTCCCTTTAAAATGATCATCTACTTTACAATAAAAAACACAGAGTTTTGTGGCTATAAAATCACAGAATGTGAAAATGTATGTGTTTGAATTCCACTGGGACTGAAATCTGTTAACGAACAGGTGCTTCTCTGGGTTAGCTGAAGTCCACAGAGGGATTGGAGACTGTACTCACAATAAATACCACTGGCACAGCACATACACACACAGAGAGTCTGTCAGCCTGCATCTGATTTATTTGATTTAACAAGCTCAGCGGAACGTCTCTCTTCTGTGTTTTTGCTGCAGTTTTTTTTTTTGTTTTTTTTGTTTTTTTTTTGTCTTCAAAACAACATTAAAATGGTAACGAAAATCCAACCGACTCGCCAGAGATTGTAATGTGCTACAGTAGGAATTGTGCCATTTGTGGATTGGGAGTTTCGTAATTTGTCGACTGCTTTGGATTCGTGAAACAGTCAGCTGCTGCATCAGACAGATTATGGCATAGTAATACCACCAGAGCATGGTGTGCATGGAGGAAGGAAGGGAGGCACAATGGCTAATGGGTGTGAGAGGGAGGGCACAGATGCTATGGTAACCAGGCTCCGGCATGAGCTCTGCAGACGCACCGAGGCAGATATGAGCCGTTTAGGGTGCCAGGTCCGCACTGGATACTTTGATGAAATCATCATCTCTTTCTCAGATCATCGTTGCAACACACAGTCTCACATTTGGAGGCTAAAAACTTATTCTAATGATGCAGCTCTCCTTTTGCAAGGACATTGATTCATGACGAGCAAAGTGTGTTTTTCATGTCCCTAAGATAAAAGGCGAAACAATGCCAGCAGCGTCCAATCTGCCTGCACGTGTTATTATATTAGCTCCTACTGTGCAGCAGGCTCCTTCCATTAAACAAACACATTAATGAATGTTTGTTTTACATTAGTGTCAGTTTCTGCCCTTGTGACTCCCTCAGTGCAGCCAAGCAGAACGATGTGCGCTGATGCAACTACATTTAGCCGCAGAATATATTTTCTCAACACAGTGTCATCAGGATGTTTAAATATGTATTGCATTTAATAGGGTCAGTTAGAAAAAATATGCTTATACGCAAGTTTTTTTCTCTCTCTCTCTTTCTCTCTCTTACATGTTTTATAGTTATTCTTGATCGGTAATTGATAGTTTTTCTTAGCCTGTGGCTTCGATTCTTCCACATGGCCTGGTTCACATGCCTCCTCATGATCGTCTCCTGCATCAGTGGGCTTTGCGCCGGTATTCTCCTGGCCCACATACGACAGCCACGCGCTCCGACTTCAGCACTCAGGGGGTTAACAGCTTTGATTCAGGCTTATTCATTTAACCATATGGGTTCTAGATGGGTTGAAAGGCTATTGTTTGCTGTTTGGGTCCTATCCCTTTGCCACCCCCCACATTAATGCACACCCACACATAGATATCACATAAATTTCCTCTCGGCAGGGGGAGATTGATTGTTGCCCTTCCATGCAGCCTTCAGCCTTGTGCGTTGGCAAGGCAACAGTGGACGCCGCAGATGTCGGGAGGAAATTTGATTTGAGATTTTGTGTCAAAAAATTTGCAGCTGCTTCATAAGGTTTTGTCTTCATAATTGACATTTCAAAGCACATGACGCCCTCCCGGCATTTAGCTTCAACATCAACACAAAGAAAGATCTTCTTTACAGCTGCCTGATCAAAATGATTTGAACAATTTGTAGTGTGAGATGATTTGGCCGGTAGGGGGATGCTTAAATGCAAATTTTGACTAAATGGAGGATTTAGTCCAAATAGTTTTTAAGCAAAAAGCACACAGAGATCAGCAGGAGCCGATTTCTCTTTGCCACCATGATCTCATCCTGGTGTGTTGCGTGTGCTAATTTAGATAAAGCATCCATCATTGACTCGAGAGACAACAAATTGCCTGTAAATGATGTGCAGAATAATTCCAGTTATTAGGAGGTGATACTGGGGATGGGTACTGGCGGCTGGTTGTCAGGACAACAGCTGAGAGACAGACAGGGCGTAGATTGTGGTCCAAATGAATGGTCATGCACGGTGAGACAGTAAGGCAGCCTCCTGGATGGATCGCACTGCGCCCATTTAGGGCCCAGAGTGGGCCACATGCAGCCCGTTTTTAAACAAATTTGTATGCATGTTGAGTAAAAAAAAAAGAAGGCTTTAATATTTAATTTAGTATAGAATATTCTATAATTAATTTGGTTTAGGAGGTGCAAGAGTTTGTGATTGCTTGTAAAAGAAAATGTTTTTAACAACCAGAAGAGAATTTAATAATGCATTTACACAAGGCAGATATATCTGTGTTATTACTAGCCGTTTAAGTTTCAATATTGTAAAAGCTTACCTAATATTTCATAATGAACTCTAAATCTAAAATCATCATCTGATAGTTTCCTAGATATCCAAAATCTAAAACTGTGGAAAAATTAACTGGATGATAAGTGGAACAAATGAAAGATACTTTTAATTTAGTTTTAGCCATGACTGTTTAAACAAATGACATTGATAATAATATGCAAAAGTTTCTAACATTTCATAAGTTATTAAATTAATTAGATCATCCAGACAAGGAACCAAGATGCCCTTGGTAACTGCTTAGAAGCTACAGAGATCTATACCTCAGATGAAAGAATGTTAACAAGGCAACTATAAAAAAAATAGACTCCATAAATCTGGTCCAGATTGAGAAATGGTAATATGAACACATTTTTTGGAAAGAAAGCAATAAAAGTCTTGATTACATAGTTCACTACAAGTAATGAAAGGGGGACATTTTAGAGAGGAAATCAAACCAAACATATCATCTCTGAAATAAAACATGGAAATGGCACCACTATGCCTGGAGGGAAACTTTTTGGAGGCTTCCAGCAGAGCAACAAATCAAACCATACAGGCAGCACTGTTATAAAACGGTTTAGGCCAAAGAATATTCACTCATTTGAATGAGGCGGTCAATATCCAACGAAGAATCTCGAGCAAGTTTTGAAAGTTGAGCATTTAATTATTTCTGTGGATGTGCACAGCCAATGAAAGACTTTAAGCTCTAATCTAGAGATTAAAGTGTTTCATGTATGTTTCTCCCTCTACACAGATATGCACAACTTTGCGTTGATCTATCTAACAAGATCCTAATAAAATACATTTAAATGTAGAGTTGTAACTTGACAGCAAAACAAAAAAACTTGAAGGAATGTGAATATTTTTGCGAGGCATTTGTTTAAGAAGATTTCAGAGGTGCTTTTCTTGTTTGTCATTTTCAGAAAAACTCTTTGCCAAGAAGAACATATGTACGTCTTTTCTAAAAGAAATGAGCCTCAAAAAGACATCTTGCCAGCTTGCAACTGTGACTGCTGTGGAGTATTTCAGTGTGTGTTTTTGGATCTGCTTCTTAATAAGTCTTTAACACATAAAGTTTGTCTCGTAAATTATTCTGAGTCGAGCGTGCGAAGTGAGAGGAACAAATTCCCACCATTTTGTCTATAATTACACATAACATAAAAAAGCAATAATGTTTTGCAGGAGTAAAGAGATGTTTTAAGAAAGTGTTTTTTTTGGCAAAGTGTTGCACAGTTACTAATAATTTAGCTTAACATAAAATTGCACGGCAATCGTGACTGTATTTGTTGACTGCTGAAGGCAGGTTTTGATGCCTCTCCCTGATTTCTCTCCGTTTGTCTCTCAGGTTCATGTGGCATTTGAAGCAGCTCTCTGGAGTCGCTGTCAGTCTCTGTGGATTCCTGTCTCCAGTAGAGCCCACACACCCATCTTCCTCCTCAGCCCCGCTTCCAACTCACGATCTCTATCACGCGACAAGTCACTCCTCGTCCTCCTGCCCAATTTCCAGCTCCAGACGCCACTCAGATGGACACCGAGTCGACCCACTCCGGCTACTCCAGTCGCTCGGCGAGATCGAACCGCCATGGGTATGCTTCCTGTCTGTAGGCCTCATCATCTGCCCATCAGCTTCTCTGCTGGAACTCTTTGCTCTGTGTGATCACACACCAGCCTGAGCTGTTGCATTTTACTTTTTTTTTTTTTTTTCTTTTGTTAGTTTCACTTGTCACCCAGTGAATGAGGTGAGACAAAAATAGCAAGGGATTGATATGGAGGATTAGGGTCGTATTTATCATGGGCATAGCAATCAGCGTTTTGTGGCTCATGATGTTCTCTTATCTGTTTTAGCTTTGTCAGTTTTATCCAGAGTCACTGCATCCAAGCCTTCTTGTCTAAACTTATTTTTATGGTAAAAATGAACTGTTGGTATAAATGTCAAGGGTTTTTGTCCAAAACAGAAAACATTACATAGATTATCAGTAAAGATACTAATTATTACACTTTTATTGATGGCATATCTGACATTTATTTATTATTTCTAGATTGATTCAGTACATCTGAATGATTACTTTCTAAATTTAGTTTAGTTTTTAACTTGCTCTCTGCGCCAATGTCTCTTTTTCCGTTCTGCTGTGTAATAGTACAACTATTTAAATATTTGCTTTACTTGCTTGAGTCGCCCGCCTGATTTTAGCCTTACCGGCAAGGTGCTTGTAGCTTCAGGACAGAATGGCATTAACTAGAGTGACGGGTAGCACTCTGTTAGTTTCTACATTATGACTTTTCTGTGGTTTTCTTGAACAGAAATATTTCAAAATCAGCAAATTTAAAATTGAGCACAAGGTATTAAACCATGGAAATAATGTCCACGCAATTCCTTAACCTTTACATTATTCTAGTATCTCTCTTTGTGATTATTACATAGAATTAGTCATTGTGTTTGTTATTTTTGTTAATTTCCCTGTTTTTAGGGAACGTAGCCGCGACAGACACAAAGGCGGCAGCAGCAAAGACAGCAGTCGCTCCGAGAGATCTGTCATGATCAACCCACCCGACTCGCCATCCCAGGACTCCCCCGTTCACAACGAAGAGCCGCTCCCCGGAGAGCCGTCAGCAGCCGCGGACCCTGGAGATGAAACGCAGGTATTTGTTCATGTTCCACTTCCTACAGCGCATACGCCGCAGTGCACCGAAAATAAAGACAAATAGCTGAAAATCGAGAATAGCAAATGAGTGGCAGTTACATTATTGTTTTCCAGACGTTCACTCTGAAATTGTCTATGGGGCAATCACATTATTTTTAGAACAAATCCGGTAATCCTCGTATGAACTTTGTATGCTGACCTTATAAACTCATGCTCCCAACACAGCTGGCTTTCCATTGCCTTATATAAAGTAACAATGGTCACTCAAGATCAAATAGGTCAGAGGATTAGCATCGCTCTATGAGGCGTGGATGGATTCAGTCCTGGGTTACACTGCGCATGCTGGTCATGCTGTGTGGGAACCTTATGAACAGGAAATAATAAAAGCACTAGAAGTAATTTAGTGAGGCGAGAGCAGTTTAAGGAAATTAGCCTCTACTTTCAAATACATAAATATACACCTAAACATCCTCTTGAATGAAAAGCTTAAATATGAAGGCAGTAGTGCAAAGAAACTATTCAATATTTTTTGACTGATCTTTAGATAAGAGGATTAATGTGGCTTCTTTGTACCATGCAATGAGAACAAAAACTGGAAACAGCCTATCTCTGTTCCTACATAATGACTTCCTTTGGCTTTATTCTCACTGTGACACCTCCCGCTGTAAGATTGTGGTCTGTTGTTTTTAAAATTTTAAGCTACAGGTGTTTCCCAAAATGCCTGACTTTTGTGCACCAAATCTAAAGACGGTGCAGAAAGAGGAAAAATATGTGGGAAAAGAGAAGCAGAGTCTCTTCTAAAAAAAGGACTTTGCCTTTTTTAGGCAATGACCCAGTTGGAATGAGTTTAAATTAGAAAAGCATCTTCTTATTTTCTACTCATCTGTATGTCAAGGAGCTATTTAATTCACACTCAAGCAATTGCACTTTCTCATAGTTTCTCTTCAGTCATATATTTTGATTTTTCTTTAGACCTATTCCACCGTCTCTCTGCTCTGTGTGCCCTTCTGGCGGCAAAGTGACATTCCACACATTCCCCATTGGCATGTGATTGTCCGCTTGCGGCTCATATGCTTTGTCGGTGGTGTAAGGTGATCCGCCATTGTGCTGCGTCTTGCCCACCAAAAAAAATTTGTCCAGCACCAGCAGCAGCACTTTCGTTACTATCACAATCACCCGGGTCCGCTCTGTTCTGGGTTTTCTGAGGCAGCAAACATCCACTGGCGGAGCTGATGGAATATGAACTGGTCTCCAGTGGAGAGAGAGAGAGGCTGTGATTAGCCTGAGATTCCTGCCAAACGCCACTTTGGGGAAAACTGATATGAATAATCCTCCGTGTTTATTACATGCACAGCATAGGGATATACTCTTAGAGTGGAGTTAGTGTGTTTTTGTGTGTGTATGTGTGTGTGAGTCACAGAGTCTGCTGCTGAGCCTGCCCATGCCGCTTTGTGAGAGACATCGTGCCAGGAGGAAGCAGCTTCAGTTTCCTCGCACTGTTAACTCAAGCAACACCAAAGCATATGTTACTCTTGTAGTCTGTGACTACTTGTCTCTTTAGCTTTTTGCCTGAGCGGATGTCCAGATAACTACTCACAGCCTCGAGACATGAACAGCTTGCAGTTTGATGTAAAAAGAAAAAAAAAAAACACCCACACAATAAAAGGAAAGCAGTAATTTAAAGAAAAACAGTCAGACTATGTGGCATTGAACCATATCCAACATAAACAACCAACATGTAGCGCGTCATCCGGAGCGGCGCAAGCCTGGGCCGTCGTGCTTTCCAGCTGGCAGAGTATTTGTCCTCTGTCGTTGTGCTTTGTTAATGGTGGATGTGGGCAGATAATACAAATCTCAGACCCTCTCAAGAAACAATTTGTAGATGTTGTAAACTTTTTTTTCTAGTCTTTACCTGGTGAATCAACTTTTTTGCATTTTGTTTTATACCAGAGAACATTAAAACTCTGTTTTATATGCTGGCCCAGCACAGAGTTGTGCATAATTGCTAAGTAGAAGTAAAAGTATGCATGTTTTTCCACGTTTTGGGAGTACGGTCTGCTCCAAATGAGTGATTTTGTAGAGCCATCTTTTGCTGTAATTACAGCTGCAAGTCTAAATAGGTACAGTGTGTTTCCACCAGCTTTCCATCTCTAGAGATTTAAATGGTTATGAATTCTCGTTTGCAAAATGCCTCGAGGTCATTCAGATTGGATGCAGAATGCCCTGCCATAGATTGTTATTTGGATTTAGGTTTGAAATGTGACTGTGCCATTCTAACACCTGAACACGGCGCTTTGACCTAAACCAGTTAGTAACTCCGGCTGAAGATGTGGGCTCATCTTCCTGTCTAAAGCTGAACATCCATACTACCTTATACCTCGCTTCATCCATCTTCTCATCAGCTTACATCACTTTGTCTGTCACTGCCAAAGAAAACAGATCCACAATACTGTCATCACTATGTTTCACTGTTGGGATTTGGTTCTTATCAGGCAGATCAACAATTTATAAATATTCGAATGACTTTTGGTAAACTGTAAATGGAACTTTGCTTGGCTATTTTCAACAACTGTTGAATTCTTGTCTGTATTTCATAAAGACCAAAGCAGTGAAGTTCACAGCCAATTCTCCCACTTAAGCTACAAATCAATCAGCAGCCATGCACCTCTTGGCTGCTTGTTTGATTTAATTGGATAACCATGTCTTGTATTAAACAGTCCTCATTGAGTCATTCCAGGCTCGACATACAGATTTATAACCTAACTTTGTTTTTAACTTCTCCATAACTTAGTCTCTGACCTCCCTGTTGTGTTCCTTAGTCTTCATTCTGCTGTCTGTTCACCGATGTTCCCCGATAGAGTCCTTCGCAGAACAGCTGCAATTAGTCTGGGGTGAAAATGTGAAGTAGCTCAAGGAATATCAATACTTTTGTAATTCCCAGGAAGGACCACATTTGAATAAGATCAGGCTTTTCTTTTTTTTTACGAACTAAATGAGGTAAAAACTATATTTCAAGATTTGACACTGCAGTCATTTTTGCTGAATTGTTGCAGATTGTTTTGCTCAATGATCCAGAGTTTGAGTATGCATAAAAAACAACAGCTTACTATGTAATTTCTAGTTCACTGAAAGGTTAATTTCTTTTACAATGTATTTATGGTACATTTTAATATGGTGCATTTTGGTGAAAAAGAAAAACATTGATGTTTTCAGATTTATTTAAATAGAATGACTACTGTACATCAATTTATCCAGCTTACAAAATACAGAATCATTTCACTCACTTATGACCATTTATGCTAATATGAAAGCAGGGCATCACTGAAGAGCAGGTTGATTTGAGAAAAACTGAAAAGAAAAAAATTGCTTGACAGAAACTAAAATGAACCTTAAAGGAACCAGGAGTGTTTGGCTGGGAGCTTTTTTCATTCATTAGCCTTACAGACACATACAGGATGAACTACGTCTGCACCCCACTCCGCTCCAACCTTCCCTTCTCTCTGCTTCTCTGCTCTTAAATTGCACCTTACCCGCTTCCATCCCCCTACCCAACTTCCCTTTCCTCTGCTTCTTCTTTTTTTTCATGCTCATTTATCTTCTGGCTCCCGTTGGCATCCCCTCCTCCAGCGAGGCTGAGTTAATTGGCTGTTAACTGCAGTGAAGACAGAGTCTGTGCTCATTTGGTGTCTTTTTGCAACTGTAATTCAAAACCTTGGTTTATATTTAAAAAAAAACAATAACAATGCTTTCATAATCTGTAACTGTTCATTTAAACCACCCAATGGACTGAGATGACCCAGTATGCAGTGGGATAAATACTCTCCAGACAGATGAGCGTTAATGTGACCGTCTGTTGTCTGGTTTTCCGGCATTTCCGCTGCATTCTCTGGCTCTGTGTGCTGCTTGACGTGCTTCGGTGTATGTCTGAATGCACACGTGTGTGATGATATGAAGGCTCTTCTGTTCAGCTTGTCATTTTCCCCAGCTCTCATCCATCCGTGTCTCTGCAGCTGCTGCTCTCGTGAATGGTTGTAGCTGGCACAACACGGCAGCACTCTTGGGGACAATAAATAGCTGCCTGAATTAATGACACGCAAACAACAATCTCCACTTACACATTCATCCTGCCTGTCTGTGTGTTGGAAATGCTTATGTTTAAACGAGCCACGACTGTTCAGATACAAAGAGGTGACTGGCCTGTAATGATGCACAACTGAAGCTGTTGTTGCGATTCACAGTCTGTGTTTGTGTATGCAGGCATGTAGGTGTGTGTATGGAGGGGCTGTCTGAGTTATGCTGCCGTGCGGATCTTCCTTCGCATCCCATTCTGTCATGTTGAATTACGACAACTAGATTTTTAAAGTTTAAAAATGATGAGCTAAAGCAAAAAAAAAAACTACATAGCACAGAGCGTATGCTATTTAAATAAATATAAAAATGTCCCATGCTATGAGCCACTTACATAATGGATAAAATCTATTGTGTAAGCCTGTAAGTAAATTTTTTATGTTTGTTTCTCATAGATTATTCTGAGGAATGTTCTAAACCTTTCTAAAACTATCTGAAACATAGCTGGTGGTGTGTTGTCAACCCAATACTAATACTAATTAATGTTTTAAGGTTGCATAAAGCACAATAAAAATTCCAGTGTGAATTACAAGAAGGATCAAACCACTGAACAAAAAGGAAAGAAATCAGTATCTAAAGTTGCTTGTAATGAAAGTTTTCCACAACAACCTTCACTTTATGTTTCTTTCAGTCCCAGTTGCAAGTGGGATTGGTTGATTGTTGTGCTCAGTGACCAGAGTAACCAAGGTCTGACTGGCAAAAGTATACTGCATGCAAACAGGAATGTGATTTAATTCTTATGTAAAACTCTCACTACCACGCAAGGTTATTAGATTTATTAATCTAATAATAATAGCTAAAAGCTGAATTTGAGGATCTGGAAAAATTAACTACAATGAAAAGCAAAAACAGCTCAGATCTGTAAGGGATCTAATACTTTTCATGCTCTGCTACTTTTAAAATTCAGCATATCAAAGGTTTCTAATGAGGGTAAACTCTTCCACCATGGACAAACTGGTATATCCAAACAGTAGAAGCCTTTAAAGATCGTTTCCTCTTTCTTTTGTCTCTACTTTTCTTTCAGGATGATAACTGGGGAGAGACCACAACAGCTGTCACAGGAACATCTGAGCTCAGCATCTCCCAAGAGGAAGTGGTTGGCCTTGGAAAAGAGCTACAGGATCGAACACAGGGCTTCCGGCGATATCTTCCCCTGGCTGTGGGCTCCTGTGTGGGTCTGCTGGTGCTGGCCACACCCTTGGTCTTCCTGCTTCTCCCAGTCGTAATGTGGCCGGACAGACTACAGGCTTGCGGTGCAGCTTGCGAGGGCCTCTTCCTCTCTATCTCCTTCAAAATCCTCATCCTCCTGGTTGCTGTTTGGGCTTTGTTCCTGCGGCCGAGCCGGGCCTGCCTGCCCAGAGTGTGTGTGTATCGGGCCTTTCTCACCACTCTCACACTGCTGCTCACCATGTCCTACTGGCTTTTCTACGGGGTCCGGATCCTCGATGCACAGGTAGGCTTCACATAATGCCATTATTGTGGTTAAATACCTTGTTTTATGGCATTTCACCCTTCAAACAGCAAAGGAATTTCAATATATCACTATACCACTATTATTCTTTACATGTATCCTATGGGAATACAATGTATTCTGATCCTCATTATTTTTATAATAGAGAACTGGCTGAGGATTTCAGATTTGAAACTGCAGCTCACTCCCTGTAGCTTCAGAAATGGGAAGTTAAACAGGTTGGATATTTGAAAAAATGTCTGCAATCCCCAGTGCTTTCTGGTTTGGGGCTTACGATTATACAGTACTCCTGCTTCCATGGTAGCCTGCCAGGACCTCCTGGGGAGCGAGGATGCTGCTGAGCGTAGTAGAGACATAGTAAACATGGGTGCTGGTTGCCAGCTACTGGCAGGCAGAACTGTTGGCTCACAAACATTAGCATATTCAAAGATAATATTTATTGTGTGAACAAAAACAGGAGACACTATGTGCAACTTTGTAAGGATAAGAGAGTTCTCATTTTGAACATCAAAATAACTAATTATAGTCATTGTAATAATGATGACTGTCACAGCTGGACTCGACCATGACTTATTGCAGATAGCGTCTTATTTAGCTCACATTGGTGTAGCTCTCATTATCAAAATGTATTACAATAAAACAGTGAACATTGCTCAACAATTTTTTTTCCTACTGATATTATTCCTCAATAAATACAGATTATTTTCTCTTGCTACTTTCTGTCACCACTAAATATTTCATGTCGACAAATAAATGTTAATAAAGGACAAGAATTATGGCACATTTAGCCAACTCTGGAGAGGTTTGAGGATGAGTAACCTGTTTAAGTTCATCGCAATTTGATTTAAGCCGTGTTTATTTTGTATCTCATCATTTAGAGGTCCACTTGTTTGTGAGGTTTTATATTATTGCTTAGGCCATGTGTGCAGAAGCTTGACGTTGGGAACTGATGTTGAATGTATTTCAATTCAGTTCAGTTTATTAATATAGCACAAAAATACATCACATGTCATGTCAATGCACTTTTTAAAAACAGGAAATAAGAAAATTAATTAAATCATGCATAGATTTTTAGTTAGATGAGTGGTTTTGGTTTGATTATAGTTTCATTATTATTTTATTTTGGTTAGATCTTACTGTTTCTAGTTATGTTTATTTCTTATATATAGCTAGTCTTTAGTGTTAGAATTATTTCATGTTTCCCTGAGTACTGCTTATCAAAGGACTATAAAGCCACAAAGGACTGAAGCTCACAGCATCTTTATTGATATATTACTGATAAATAGTTTAGCGCTCAACGTCAAAGAAATATTGTACCTCATACTGGAATTATGAATTACAATAATTCAGAGATGGCATGTATCCCATACACACAGGTATAGAATTTATGTAAGTGAATATCTCTGGCTTCACTATGCAGACACTCTGTTTGCACTGATGAATATTCACTTACTTTGGCATGCTGAATGCATGAAGTGATTCCAACTGGCAGCAGTCTGACCCACTTCCTGACAGATGGATGTTTCACTTCCTCAGATGAGATGAGATAAGAATCCTGAAGTAATTTATTCTGATGTCTTCAGCCGCATCACGCCGAAGCTCCATGTTGTGTTTTCAGTTAATGAGCTTCAGATGGAAATCTCTCATTCAAGTGTTTGATTTTTCTTTTTACTTTTCCTTGCTTTATAATATGTGCCCCAGAGAAAAAAAAAAAAACTTCATTCAGTTTGTTGGAAATTCTTGTGTGGTTTAATCAGGATGAAGATTACCATGGCATCGTCCAGTTTGCCGTGTCTCTGGTGGACTCCCAGCTCTTCGTTCACTACCTGGCAGTCGTACTGCTGGAGCTCCGTCACCTCCGGCCTTGCTACAGCGTGTGCGTCATCCGCTCCACAGACGGAGAGACGCGCCACTACAACATTGGACAGCTGAGGTACACACACACACACAAGGCTGTTGTTGTAATCATAAAAATTACCTACAATCACTCTGAAGACAAATTCTTTAGCCTGAAAACAGCCTCTCACTGCAGTCCACTCTGAGACACATGCTGGCTAGTTGCTACACACTGAAGTATGAGTGTAATCGGAGGCCCGTGTCTGCAGGGAAGACTGGCATAGGCTGTAATCAAGTTACTCAAGAGTCTTGTTAGTGTGAGTCAAGGAGCTTGGGGGAGGAATGACAGTGGAGGACACGGTGCCCCTAATGTCTTCTTCTGGCGAGAAGAATTGTATTAATGTAAGGTTCATAAACTTAACCATTTATAATAAGTCTAATTGGCTCCAAATGGGTTTTTGATGAATGGTATAGAGGGCCCCAGCAGCTTGGAATGCCCTCATGCCTTTCTTTGTTAGAACTTGTGTTAACTGGCAGAAAAATTTGGCATTCACTGCACACACAAAGTTCACTGGATAGTTTTAGGATGTAAAACTGATGTGAATTGAGTTTGCAATTTCTATGTACTCTTGAAACAATTTCTTATGTTCGCATTTTGTCACAAGACTGTTCACGCCCCTTGAACTTTTTTTGATTTCGTCTCGGTACAACCACAAACCCAAAGTTGCTCTGTAGGGATTTTGAATTATGAACCAACACCAAGTAGTATTGAATCATTATCATTCTGATTGCACTTCTGACGTGGAATGAGAATAATTAAAGATTTTCAAAAATGTTTAATTCCTACAAACAATTTGAAAAAGGACTACAAGTTCCCCAGCAAATATTGACTATTTTTAAATAGTTCAAGTTAATTCAGACCCTAATCTCTAATTAATTTCTTGTTGAGAGACTCCCCCACCTGAGCTGTGGATCTCGGCTGCTTCTCTGATCAGCGCTCGCCTAACCTAACCTTTTATTTTTTATTTACTTATCATTTTAAATTGTACACAGAAAAAAATATAATTTACATCAAGATGCTGTTAATATTTTGTTATACATGGTGATGGGTTATTTGTCAGATTCAGGTAAATAAAAATGTAATTGATGTACTGTAACAATACAAAGCCACATTATAAACAAAGCTTGTGTTATTGAATTTCAAGCCAAGATTAACAAATCAGATCAAATCCAAACTTGTATTAATATTTTCTCATTCTTCTGTCACACAGCATTCAACGAGCTGCTTTGACCATCCTGGAATACTATTACAGAGACTTTCCATTGCACAACCCTGCCCTCCTCTCTGCCTCTAAACACAGAACTGCCAAACACCTGGCTGGGCTAAAGGTCTACAACGTGGACGGTAGGTCACCTCAAATGTGACAGAAACTTTCCTGTCCAGTAAAGGCAATAATTTTTATGTCCTCCATTATCTCTTAATAGACCATTTGGAGGATGACATACACAGATTGTATTTGTGGGTCGAGGTAATACTGACATGAAATACATTAAACGTGAAATCTACAAATTTCACGTTTGATTGACCAGTGACCAGTCTATGGATGAATAAACGATTGCTTCACTCCAACAGTAAATTGTTATCTTGTGACCAAATGTTAGTCAAAACATTGTATTATAAAAATAACTACGATGACAGTCTTTATCCTTTTACTTTGGGAGTTTCAATATTAGCTAGTTTTGTTGACAAAATGAATGATCAGTTGCAACAGTAAAATGAGAGAAAAGTTGCAAAAGTCTAAAAATAAAGAAGGTCAGTTCCAACAAGTTCAGCAAAGAGTAAAAGATGTTTTAAGACTTTTACATCAAATTTTATTTTATGGTTTAGCTGCTTCCTCTTTGCCATCTCCATATAAAGATCATAGTGCATTACCTACTCACTCACACTGCAGCGCCTTGTTGCATTTCGACATATTGTTCCCCATAACTACGTGTGCCTGTTCTCCAGTGTCACATATTGTACTCTCTCCTGCATCTAAAAGGATCTTCCACTCACTGCGCATTTATCCTCCACCCACTGCAGAGCTCTGGATTTCTTGATCCTTCGCGGTGATATAGTATGGAATACAGTGTCCTCGTAGTAATCTTCCCCCATCCCTATCGGAGCATAACGAAAAGCCCTCTAGAGGCGCATGGAGTTTTATGCCTTAAATAATTCATCAGAGAAATGCTCGTTTCTCACATTCTCCTACATCTCTCCTTCCTCCGCTCAGCCTGTCTCCAGCTCCGCCTGTTCTGTCCCTTTTTTCCTTTCCTGTCAACCCCCACGCATGGCTTATTCTTCCCTACTCCATTCACCCACAGCCACCACTCTTATTACAGTACATATAAGTAGGCCAGGAGGTAAAGAGGGTGCTGTTTTTTTTTCTGTAGAAAATGCCCAACAAACATGATGATTCACATGTTTTTCATCACTGCATTTGGTGTCTTTTTCTGAGCTGCGGATGCGTCAACACTCACATATGCACATCAGGTTATTAATGATTTATATCCTCACCTGACCTGTAGCATTAACTCTACCACCTCCCCCTAACTTTACTGATCCGCATGCTTGAGAAAAACAAATGCGCCCACATTAAAAGCTGATGAGATTCAGTTCCACTGCAAGTTTCATTACACAAACCATTACATGCAGTGTAATCAAAGTCAATAGACTTTGATATTCACATTATGTCACAATTTACTTTAAGCCACACCCAATGAGATGCTTTCTGTAATAATTTAACTGAAAGTCACTTTTATCTTTTGCTATTAATAAAACAATCTGCAAATTAAACTGGAAGGATGTCTCAAAGATGAACATACAGAGTCCAGAAACCCTGTTTTCTTAAAAGATTTGACTTGGACGGGCATAATCCTGACCAGAAAAATTCATACTCATTCTTCTATGATTACATCTGATTTCTCTGTTGTTTTCTGAGTTGTTTTCTCGATGCCCATTCATCACTGGTGTGAGGTCCACCACCAGTGTTGACGGGTCAGGAAGCTGATTTCCTTATGTCACACTGACATAATCAGTTTACCTGTGTTCTCTCCCGGCTTTAGCTCCAGGTGGTACGGCTGCAGCTCAGCCCAGCAATGGAAATCAGTCACGGCCTATGGTTACACCTGCCACCAAACGCAAAGACAACGCGCACAGTGAGCTATACTATGAGGAGGCAGACTATGAGAGGAGAGTCCGCAAGCGAAGAGCCAGGTAAGTTACAAAAAACCAACATAAGTGTATAACACATTTTCAGCAGACCAGGCCTTTAGAACAAAACTAATTAGAGTCCTGGAAACCAAAACGCGTCATGACATTGTCCCAGTGGTGGCACAGATTCTCTAACAGCCGTTTCCAAATCCAGTGTTATAGATCCACTGAGACCGGGTTGCTCTTCCGCCCAAATGTAACAGGATTTATGTTTCAGGGATTTGGGAAAAAGGGATAAGTCAATGTCCTTTTCCTAATGGGGTCACAGAATATAACACAGACAGAAACAGAGACAAAGTCTATTGTGGAAAAATGTTTGTGGAGAACCTTAAGTTAAGTTAGAACAATCGAAGCTACAGTTTCTTGAAAAAGATACCCACAGCTACTATTTATGCACATTATCATCAAACCACCTCTGGTAAAGAATGGATAAATGAGCAGTATGATTAATATTAATAACATTTTCATAATACACCAAAAGATAAATATTTGGTCTATCATACTTCTATGTTTCTTTCTACCATATCACAAGTGTCTCGGGTCAAGATCATTGTTTTAATAATTACACAAATGGCCATATGTAAAAGTATTTCCTATATCTGTGGGTTTATCAGGCTGGTGGTCGCCGTTGAGGAGGCCTTCACACATGTCCGGCGCATGAAGAAAGAAGATGAGAACGCAGCACCGTCTGACATCATGGATGTTCGTGAAGCCGCTCTGGCCGTCTTTCCCTCGATGGCTCGTTCCCTGCAAAAATACCTCCGCACCACCAGGAGGCAGCACTGCCACAGCATGGAGAGCATCCAGAAGCACCTGGCTTTTTGCCTAGTGAATAACATGAGTCCTAAGGTCAGTCTGGTTTGTTGTCATGTTGTACAAGATTATTGAACTAACGTTTAACTAACACTTTCACTTTCTGTCAAGCTGTTGATTTAAATTACACTAAGCATTTTTTCATACCGTACTGAGTATGGCTATAACTTTTTTCCCCCTTGTGTCCAGGCCTTCCTTGAAGCATACCTCGCTCCCGGTCCGACCCTGCTGTACGGCCCAGAGCGCTGGATGGCCGATCAGTGGACTTTGATCAGCGAAGCTTCAGTCACCAGCGGCATTAAGGAGGGAACAGAGTTCCTGTTGAAGTGTCTTGATTTTAATTTAGCAGTCACAGTCAAAGGCATCCCTTACATCCGTTTGACTGAAGAGTACATTGACCCCAAATCTCATAAGTTTATACTGCTGCTCCAATCAGAAACATCTGTTTAGTAGTGATACAGTGCAGCTGTGCTGCTGCTCTGTAAAACACAGAACTTTTGCAGTTGTCCAGCTGAACTTTTCCAAGACAAACATTTTGTACCGTTTTTGTACTTATTCGTGTTGTTTTTCAAATTGATATGTTGTAGTCATCGTGACGGGCTGGAATGAGGATGAAGGAAAGCATTTATTCTGAAAACATTTGCAAGGCTCACATTAGTTATACCTCCATGGACTACTGATGACATCTGCAGTGCCTCTGAAAAGCTTTACTGTTGAACTTTTTAACATTTTGTCATATTTTTAACCACAAATTCCAGTTTATTTCATAGGGATGATATGCAGCAGGAAAAATATTGCATAATTATCATATGAAATGAAAAGAATACATGGCTTTCAATTTTAGCTAAATGCATTTGAAGTCATAACCGCTCAGTAATGAGGTTACTTTGTCCAACCATCTTCTGTTGAATATAAAAATATAAATATTTTGCAGTGTGTCTTCACAGTTTGGGAAATTTTTGCTTCTTCAAACTGGCTCAAGTTCAGTCAGACTGGATGGAGAGCATCTGACAAAAGCAATTTTCAAATCTTAACACAAATTTACATTTTAGATTTGACTGGGCTATTCCAAGCATATGGAAACATATTGCAGAACAACAAATTTTCAACAAACATCTTACATTTTGTGGTTATACCATGATGAACTGTGGAAAAGTTCATCACGTATTTCATGCCTCTCTGTTTTCCCTTGGTTTGTATGTCAGTGTGCACCGATGTGCTGGAGGAAAGTTACAGAATCAGGACAAAAGAGGGATTGCAGCATGTTCACAGCTTTTTCATAGAGGTTCACTTTGGAGTCTGTCTTAAGCAATTCATTGTAAAGTTACCGTAACTCTTTTTACCAGAACCGTATCACTGTCAAAAGGTCTTGAGTCATCTCTCATTAGAAGCCACACTATTTGTAATCTTTTAATGTGTTTTTGATAAATTCTGGCGTAGGGTTTTCGAAGGCTTTTCGATGTTCTTTGAAGTTCAGCTGTTTTCCAAAGTGCAAAGGAAAGTTTTGAAGGAACATCTGAGAATAATTTATCAAGTCAACCTTAAAAGATCACTCCTTACTGAAAAGGAAATGTAAAAAATGTGTGGTTGTTTGATACCTTTGCACAGTGCTTTACTCCTTTTTAACAGTAGCAGTTATTATTTATAATCATCCTGGATTACAGATGTATGTACAGTATTTATATGTAAATATGCTTTATCCCATTTTACTTTTTATACAAAATTGTGCATTGATTGCTTGATAACTTTTTTATTTTGTGATTTTTCTTTTCTTTTTTTTTTACCTTGTTTATGTATGCTTTATTTGATGAGACACCTGGGCCGCAAATAATTGAAGACATGCAAGTATTAGATAAATGACAGGAGTCTAACGAACAGAAAGCAAAGCACAGTCCAGCTGAATACCAATGTTCTAGTCAGTAGGTTATGGACAGACACACTTGGCTGAGTGATGTATTTATGGATTAGAAAGAGGACATCCAAGATGTTAGAAGACATATCAAGCCTCAATGAAAGTTTATAAACTTAAAGTTTATAAACTTAAGATCTATTTCACAGTTTGTTCAGTGAGGAAAAGGGAATCATGGGAGAAATAACTTGAAGTTCTGACGAGCATCATCACTCTGATGTCAGCACCGCCATTTCTCTATCAGTAGCTATGTCACACACATGCCCTACTTTATGTTCTCAAACTGTGCCATCATTTTGTAAACTAATAGCGGTACTGAATGGAAGCAGCTGAAAGTCATACTTTTCCACACTTTCTTAATTCATGTTTTACTCTAGGTGGTTCAGCTGCGCAACAAGACTAATTTCATTTCTAGATATTTATACTTATGTGTTTAAATCTACACATACATTTCTACATTTAATTATAGTCAAGATTTGGCAATATTATAGTCCATAATTGATCTGTTCTCCTAGATGCAAAAATAATAAAAAACATATTAAAATAGCACATTTTCCTCCAGTAAAAGCATACTTCCCTACAACCATAATGGACTGACTGCTAATTATGAAAGAGCTAATTCTGTTAGCTTTGTTATGAAATGTATTTTGTTCTTGTCCTTTGAGCTTCAGTTGCTAATTTTCTTGAAGCCACGATGTTTATTGTTTTGTTACTTTGGACAACAAGTTGTTTACAACAAAGGGATTATTTTGGGATGAGAACACTTACTCTCTTTTTCTGCATGGTTGAAGTTTTGAAGGAAGTCAGAGTGCTCACTCCATTATTTTCTGTAGCAAATAAGTAACCACAAGCCTATTCAACATATCTATTCATGTTAAAATCGTATTCTTTTTTTGTCAAGATATTTTGTGTATGTCCTTTGTTTATGACACCAAGCAGCCACACTTTGTGGTTCCAGAGGACATGTCCATATATGGTAGTTAATTTCCTGTTTTCTGTTTGACATTAAAACTGTTTCTTAAAATATTTTTGAAATGGACCATTTGTACTCTTAAACTGCCAATTGTTAAAGCAATTATTGAAGATGAATATCTTGAGCAGTCTCTGTACTGCTTTTGTGTTTCATCTGAGACGTTACTGCCACCTGTCTACCAAGAGTGGAAGAACATGCTGAGAATCTACCTTGACTTTTGACATGTGAGGATAGTTGATCTGTTTTTTTGTTTTTTAATTTATGAGGTTGGTGATGTTGTAATATCTTGAAGTGTTGCTGTGTTCAGAGAAAGTGTAGATTTGTTTCTGAGCGTTACACACGTGCCTCGGTTGTGTTTATGTTAATATGGACAAAACCTGAGTAAAGAGACTGATTTCCCATATTTATGCAACTACATGTCATGAGCTCCAGTTTCCATGTCCTGTTTTATACAACAAACATGTAAAACACAGCCATTCTGGCAAAGTTTGTAAAAAATAAAATGAAATAAATATTTGTACTGATCTCTTAAGTTATTTAATCTCCTTCCTATCTTGCATAATTTTGTTTAATTTATCCATGACAAAAGGAAGCAGTGTGTTTGCATTTTGACTTACAATACACCTATTTGTATTATTCACAATTAGATCCCCATTAAAGACAGATGTGAATTTGGAGGCTTACAAAGTCAAGGCCAAACCATGAAAGACAGTTTGGTCTTTCCAAACTATGTTCACTTGAGGGAACCTTGAGTAATTAGTAATTAGTAATTCTATTTTACTTCAAACATGGAAAGATACATTTGATTTATTGTCAAACAGAAACAGCAGATCCTTTGTGGTTTTACAGTGTATTTTAACTTCTGGTTAAAACTGTATATAATTCTGATCTGAACACCATTTTCACATTTAAAGGGACTCACATGAACCAACCATTTTTTGTGGATCAGCTGCGTTAAAAAGGTTGTAGGGTTTTTTCAGAAACATTAGATCACTACCTGCAATAGGTGAGAAAAAAGTCTTGATTTGTCCACCTTCTGTAAATATGAATGCATGAATCTGAATGATCACAGCATAAGTACCGACTACAAGGATAAATTTGCAATGATTGATTAAGAATGCAGTTTTTCAACAATGGTGACATCAACACCATTTATTGTGAAGAGTCAAATCCATATCCATTAAGCATGTCCCTGATAAACATGTTTACATATTTCTATATTCAACCCCAATCACAGAAATTTACATGTTCAAAAATTGAATATTAAATGTTAAAATAAATTAAAAAGATCAACAGGCACCGATTCAGAGGACATACAGTCATTTTGAGTCCAAAGTTGTACAGCAGGACTGATGGAGGAAGAGCCAACGTCAAGGCAGTTAGTTATTCTTCTTCATCATCTTCGTCGTCATCCTCATCATCTTCATCCTCTTCCTCATCATCCCCATTGTCTTCGTCCTCATCATCATCATCATCATCGTCGTCGTCGTCATCATCGTCATCGTTGTCGTCGTCATCATCATCATCATCATCATCTTCAGTGTTTACTTTGCCAGAAAGAACATCCTCAATCCAGTCCTCCAGCTGCGTAGCCGTGGGCAGGTCCTCCTCATCCTCCATTTCTAGCCACACACTGTCTGCCTGAGCTCACATTAAAAGGATAAACTGTGTCAGAAAGTGTTGTTTTGGTCTGAACGTTTGGGTTCGGGAACTTACATCTGTAACATTGACGACGCCGATCTGCGGTCTGAACAGATCCACCTTAAAGGTCTTCTCCCAGTAAGGAATCAGCTGGAAGGAGTCAGAAAAGAGAACATAATTGTTTTGCCTTTGCACTTTGCTTCAGGCACAGTTACTCTGACGTAGGAGGCATAAGGCTCACCAGGGGGAAGTCATCAGGGTCAATCCAGATGATGCTGAGGTCAGGAAGGTGAGTGTTATCTCTGGCAACCTCCTTCAGGATCTCTAAGAACTCATAGCCATCTGGAAAACAGAAATTTTGTTCTTATTATTTAGTTTCTTTAAAAATATATTTTGCGATTTAGAAATATGTTTTGATATATAAGCTTAAGTCACTATTCTTCTATATTAGTTCAGGCCTGTTTTTATTGTTTTATAGTTTAGATACAGATCTCTAAACTATTCAGCTCATATCATATAAACTCTCCTGTTCTACAATGTCATGTTGTCTTACCTGGGTCCTCTTCCTCCGCAAAAGCCACAATGTGGATCCCCTCAATGTCATCCTCCTGAAAGAAAAGGAGCAAGGTTTAACTCTAGCTGCTAAAAGAATGTTGTGAGAAAAACATAAAGCAGACGTATTAATGTTGCTGCTCTCTGACCCAGGTCTCAAACATATTTTCTGCACGCAGCTTTCTCAGAGTTGGTCTGGTGGCACAGAAAATACAATATCACACATTGCGTCGTATCACAACGCCGAATCAAGGTTGCAAATAATTTAAAATGTGAGATAAGTTGAGGTAAGTCCACAGTTTACCGCCTGTGCTCTGTTATGAAGTCCACCAGCTCCTTCTCAGAGTGTGGCCTTCCTGGGACGGTGACAGGCTCCTCCATGAAGGGCTCATAGAAGTCCACCTCGTTCAGCTTCAGGGTCAGTTCTTTGGCCACCTTGACCAACAGAATCAGATCAGCCAGCTATAGCAGATTCCTGATGACAAACTTTTCTACTCTGTTTGACACTTACAGATTTTTCAAATGTGGCGAAGAATTTAATGTAGGGCTGAAAGTGCTCTGCAGCCTCTTTAAATGCTTCATAATCTAAAAACAAAAACGACATATAAAGTATGTGCAGCTCAGCGCAGAAGTATTATAGTAAAGACATGTTTATTGTTGTATTCTCTTCTTTAGTCACAGATCAAGTTGTCCTTTGCACATCAGGGAGCGGAAATAGCTCATCCTTGACCTCAGTGCGTTTCTCCCACAGATGGCCAGATGGGATAAAGCTCCAGCACAGCTCTGATTGTTTACTATACTCAGTTTTTGACTGTTTTGGCTAAATAACACTTGATAGAAAAAATATATATTTCTCTTAAATTGTGGTGGTGTTACACAATAGAGTAGAGATACATTTCTTACATCTCAGAAAAGCTTTCGACCAGTAATATTGTTAATAATACACAAGTGTTGTTTTGATTTTCTTGGCAAAATCTTAACTGTTTGGGGTCTTCTTTGGCAATTCAATGTATGAATACAAAACTATGAATAATCCCTGGAGACAAGAGGATTAAAATCTATTTTTGCTCCTATCAAAATCAAAGAAATTATTCTGCAAAGCCATCTAAACAAACAAGATGATCAGGCAGCAGAAGATCACGCATTTTGCAAACTAAAACACTCACGTTCAGAGTCTTCACTCTTGAAGTAGCCAACAACGCGAATGTCCTCCTCCATTCTATCAAAGGCTTTTAGCTCCAGAGCGTTCTCTATGACCTCCACAGGCTCCTCCAAAAGCTAATGAGAGAAGCCAAAGCAAAGAGCTTGGAGAGTGACCTGGGTGGTCTAGTAACTACGACCAGCACTGATTTGGCCTCAACGCTGGAAATATTCTCTGAAACAAATCTACTCACATCCAGCAAGAACTCCACCAGAATGTTAGCAGACAGCAAACCATCGAACTCGATCACTCTGTCATCTTTGAAAATATACACACTTCCCTCCTCCTCCAAGCCTGCAATTAAAAGGAAAACAATTTCAGAAAAAAGAAAGCTAAATCTCTTCTATCATATTCATCTTGCTATAATAAAGAAAGAAATGATTGAAGACACGTCTCTGTCCTCACCTAGTTTCTTTGCAACTTTTGCATCTTTGACTGAGTCAACCATCCCAAAGCCGATGTTCTTTTCCTCCATGACCTGAGCAACAAGCTGAAAGTCAAGGGAAAAAAATATTAAGAAGAGTTAAAGTGAAAGAAAAGATCTACAGTTTCTGTATGAAGACAAGCAAATCCGAACAAAGCTCCAAGATCACAGAAGATAGTTGGCAGCATGACAGGTGCTGCAGGCTCGAGGCAGAAAGACATAGTTACATAATCACTCGGTCTCCCTGGTTCTAAATACAACCACAGTCAGAGCATAGAGCATATAATTGTTCTGGTATTTGTCATGTATAGGACAGGAGCTTTTTTGGTG